CCTCGCCATGTGGTCACCTCCGGGGCAGGCGGGAATTGAACTCATGCAAAGGTGGTTTCAGCTTCTTAGTGCAGTGCTTTAACCATTGCGCCACCAGGGAGGGCCCATTTGTACTCTCTTTAACTAATACTTGGTGAAAGAGGGGAAGAAATGTTCTAGATGCCTGTCCTTCCAATAGCCTGGTTGCCTAGTTCATATTCTGCTCTAGGGCCACCATCCAGCCACTGGTCATGGGACTCCAAATTTGTTTTTAAAGAGTTCGTATCCTTGGTGTTTCTGGAATGTAATACCTAAATCAACTAGGACACAATGGGGAAAATGGATTTTTATTTGTTGTTTATTCAGCAGGTGTTCCCATTCATCAGCACATAGCAAGTTTATTAAAGAAAAAAGGGAAGAGGGACACCTGCACAGACACAGACGGACAGCCTCAAAACAAAAGAACTGCATTTTTGAAATGCACAGGGTTAAGAAGAGAAACATCTATGTAGACACAGGCAGGCAAGAATGTCGGGGAAAACTGTTAAATATAAAAAACACAGCAATAAATCTTCCAAATTCACCTATTTGTTGTCCTGTGATTTTGTTTCCCTTTATTACTTGTAACATTTCAACAGTCTTCTTTTAAATTTAGATTCATTTCTTACAATGTCTGGAGTGCAAATTCTGCGATTCCCTGCATCTGCTGTTCTGTTCTCTCATAGTGGGTTTATTTTTTCCTTTTTGGGGAAGTGTTCCCTGTAAGCTCATTTTCGTAAAACTTTCCCTTGCAGGTTCTTTTATGAAAACTTGATGAAAATAATACCTTTCAGGACAGTTTTGTGTCTGCATCTACAGGAGCCAATATTCTTCACAGGCCAAGGAACAGCAGCATTTGTTAGCTCTTCATCTTGGCATCTCAGTAACACTTAACTGCACCACAACCCCACCAACTACAGAGGTCTGAATTTCTTTGTAGGTAACTCTGCTTACATCTCCGGGTGATGGTGAACTTTCTCATATTTTCCTACTGATTCCCAGAGGTCAAGAGCAATGCTCTTTTAGATTTCATTTCATGGGGAAGTGATCCTCTGAAATTCTTACCTCATTGTTGAAGGTCATTGGGCCTAGATCTTGGTCCCTAGTCTCTCTAAACTTCTTGACCTCCACTCTCAAAATGTTCTGCTGCTTCATTTCTAGCTCTTTGGGATTTCCTGTTTTTAGTTTCAAGCCCAGTTGTTAGGCTTTTTCTTCTTCTTTTTGGTTACATATAGTGATCAGAAGTCAGCAACAATCATTCCATATAATGTAATCAAAACGTCTCAAAAAACCCAAAACAGTTATTTCACTTCCTTAGGACTGCACTGAAAGTACTTCGAAGTCAGAGAACCTGCCTCTCCAGGCTCATTATCTGCCACTTTCTCTTCTCCACACCCATATCCAGTCTCCACACTACAGTCACAGACAGTAACTCTTCTCTTTATTTCATAGTTGTATTTAGTGTACGCCTTTGATGGTAGTTATATTTATTGTTTCTCTAACTTGCGTACTCTTAAGAAGGGACTGTAGTAACTGACTAGTAACTCTAGCTTCTAAGAGCCCAGGTCCAAGAAAACAGTAGCCCACATGGCATCACCTCTGGACACAGTAATACAAACTGACTTCACTTTTATTTAATTCAAACTGCTATCCAGTCTAATTAGGTTTGCATTGAACTATATATTAATTCAAGAACTAACATTTTAAGAATATTAATGCCAACTCATTATTTTCAAGGACCTGGTACAGCTTTTCATTTGTGAGATCTTGTTTTATGCCCTTTAGTGATATCCTTTTCTTGTTAAATTTATTCTTGAGTATTTTACATATAATTTTGAAACATTAACATGTTTCAAAATCTAAAAGTTTAAAAATATAGCAAATTTTTCCTTCCATTGTTATCCCTACTCTACACAATTCCCCTCTCCTCCACAGGTATGTATGTACCTATGTATATATATACACTTACCTGTTGCAATTGTGAATAGAATATGAATAGAATACTTTTGCTGTTATTGTTTCTAGCTGATTATTTCTAGAAGAAAGTTATTGATTTTTATATACTTATCTATTATTCAGACACATCAAATTTCCTTATTAATGCTAAAAGGTTACTATATAGCCTTTTGAACTTCCTAAATACACATTTAACAGCAAAATAAAATAGACTATTTTATAATATTTACACCAATTACTTCATTTTCTTGCCTAATTACTTTTACCTGAACTTCAAAGCACTGTTAAGTTTTGTGTTGCTTCAGACTTCAATAGAAATTATTTCATTTACAGTTGAAAATGATCTTTACTATGTTTTTGAAGGAAGTTTCTTTTTCTTTTACTTAAAGCTTTAACTTTATCAGGCCCTCCCTGGTGGTGCAACAGGTTAAAGCATAGCACTGCAAAGCGGGCCGCAGCTGCCTCAACACGAGTTCCATCCCTGGTTAGGGAGGTAACCCACATGGCGCAGCAGACCTCTCCTGTCTCAACCGCTGTTCCCCTCAGAAGTATACTTTGTCAATCTGGCTGTTCTGCTCCCCGCTCTCTCTCTGGTGAATCCTCTCACCACCCCTGCACCATGGCCTGTACCCAAGATCTCTATGCACAAATAAATAAATCTAAAAAAAAACTTTATCAAATCATAAAGCTGTGATATTATCAAACATTTTTTAGCATATGCTAATAAATTTTATTTCCTTTCATTGAGAAAACTATTTTGAAATAATTCTAGTTTAACAGAAAAGTTGTAAAAACAATACAAAGAAATTCTGTATATCCTTACTCAGACTTCCCAAATATTAATACTTTATCATTGTATGTGTACATAGAATATATATAGGCATACACATCATAATTTTTTAAAGCATTTGCAAATTGTCTTTACCCTAACCTCTAAATACTGCAAGGTATATTTTCCCAAAAAACCAAGGATATTCTTACATAGTCATATAAGAAATATTATCAGAAAATAAACATAATATTAATCTATAGATGCTTATGTAATATTCAAGTTCTTGGTGTAGTGGATTATATTAAAATTTCCTGATATTCAGGCATAGATTGATGAAATAAACCTTTTGTGATCATGGTATATAATTCAACTTCATTTTATTTGGAACTTTTGCATCTATAATAGTGAGATTACACTATGATATTCCTTTAGGCACTTTCTCAGATTTGTGGAATCATCTTATGGTGGCCTTTAAAAATCAATTGAGCATCTTTTCATCCTCTCTCATCATCTGAAGTTGTTTATTTAACAACTAAAAATTACAACCCACATATTTTTTGTGCGAGGTATTGATTGGCCTTAGTAGTATTCATTTTATTATAGTTCACTGAGCTGAACATTTGCAATTTGTGTATCTTTCCTTATATATTTCAATAAAAAATCAACACAATCTTTAAAAAGGATAAATTTTTAATCACTTTTCCAATTTCTTCTCTGGTAATTGATCTATTTAAACTAGAGGAAATTACCTATTTGCTCTGTTTTCAGTTCTGTGGCCACAGAGTTCTCTTAAAATTTTATATTCTTCCTTTTGATGCCTGATTTCTCATTCCTAATTTTTCATTCTTCTTTTTTTTAAAGATTTATTTATTTGTTCATACAGAACTGGGGTACAGGCCAGAGATGCGGAGGGTGAGGATTCACCAGAAACAGAGTGGGGTACAGAACAGGCAGATCGACAAGGTACACTGCTGAGGGGAGCAGTGGGCGGGTCAGGAGAAATCTGCCTCGCCATGTGGATCTCCTCCGGGGCAGGCGGGATTTGAACTCATGCAGAAGTGACTTAAGCTTCTTAGTGCTGTGCTTTAACCCGCTGCGCCACCAGGGAGGGCCCATTCTTCCTTTTTATCAGACTGAGAAGGTTTTCATCTATTTTTTTTGGTGCTTTTAAACAATCATTTTTCTACTCACCTTTTCTCTTTTTTTTTTCTGGTTTCCCACTTGATTAACTTCAGGTTTTAACTTCACTGGTTAACTTTCTAATGTTTTATATGTTATATATAAATATAACTAAATAAATACACACACACACACACATAACATATATATGTATTCTATATTTTCTCAATTTAAAGACCTCGCTCAGGGGGTCATGGAGGCCATCTTGACCTTAGTACCTTAGTATTCATAAGAGACCACAAAGTATGAGGGTTTTCAAACAATCACTACCATTTTGAGTTTTTCTTTTTGAGTAATAAAGGAGTTATATTTCATTAGCAAGTCCGGCCTCATTACTTCCAGGCTACTCAACAGGTATCTGGGTCTTATTTTGCCCCATTTGCTCAGGGTCTAATCCTGGCAGATCCTACTGCTGACCACAAGCACATGACAAATAAATGTGCTGAGTGAACAAACGGCACTGTTCTGACCCGGGGTGTGTGGTGAAGATCTGCGTCTGACTCAGGGCCTACACACCCTTCCAAATACCTGGAACAGCTGTCACGTGCTGGCACTATGCCAGGTTCTAGGAACAGAACAGTGAACTGAACAATTGTGTACAGCCCCCTTGGAGCTTACAGCCGAGTGACAAAGACAGATACAGAACAAGTTAAGTGAGTGGAATATTGGCTAGGATGACACAGAAGTATAAAATATGGGCCCAGTGTCCCCGGGAGGTTTACCAAAGAATACCCAGAAATAGTACTTATGTCCCTCAGAATCTGAGGATCTATCCTCCCTCCCTCCCTCCATCTCAAGAAGAAGGTGGTCACTGGGTTTTCTTGCATAAAAGTTATTTGGTTTAGGCTTATGTTCAACTGGCTATAGCTAATTGAACCAAGGGACTGAATGACATAGGCATAAAAACTTTATCCAACAGTAATCTTCCCTATAAGATGGCCACTGACTTCCCTCAAGGGAAGGCTTCACGCCAAACAGAGAAAAAGAGAACACAAGGATAATAAAAGAGAATAGTAGAGTCATAATAATGGCAATCACAAACCCTGTGGTACTGGGTTCTCCTATAGTATCAATATCAATTCATGTTTTTTAATAATATATAGACAGACAGATACAATGATAAATTCAGGTATGTGTGATACACATTAGCATACATATATATATACATGTATTTTCTAGCTTTGTCTGCTGAAAGGTCCTAGAAGCAATGTCACTCCAGTGAACTGCAATGAATACAAGCAGTGCCCAGATCTTGGTTTCTAAATACTATTCCTGAATAAAAAAATGAACCAAGAGCTGCTGGGAGAAATGGATGGTGTCAGGGCTAGAACAGGAAAGATATGAGTGAGCTTGGAATACCAATAAGTCAGAGAGTGCTTAAAAAAAAAGGATGTGGGTGATGTTGAAACAACACAGGCGTCAACTTGAAAGAGTTCCCAGTAGCCAGAAATAGGCTAATTTGAGTAACAAAATTAACTATGTTAGTATGAGGCTGTAACCCCTAGAATAAAAAAATATATCCATTAGCTTATACTGATATAAATTATCAAATAAATAAATGGGGGAAAGAGATAGTTCTTCCTTACAGCAGAACACCAATTAATATAGATGGAAGAAGAAAAGAGAAAGTCATCATCAGACAAACACAGTATTAAAGCTTAGCATAAGTAAGTAAGAACGCCTGATTGGCACTAAGATCACAGGGCACAGTCTAAAGATAAATGGGACATCTGCATAGCATAAGGTATCTTCCCATGTGACTCTTTATTAATTACAAAGGGGGAAATTAATCACTTTACAATGGAGGAACCAGGCACACATTACCTCCACTGTATGGTTGGTTCACACCCCTGTTCTGAGGCACCGAGAAGGCACAGCATCATTTGTATGGTGGTCTTGCCAAACAAAACAAACAGATCCTCAGCCTACACATGTGAGAACAGCAGACAGACCCACAGACCCAAGTTAAGAAAATAATCACCTTGGACATTTCTAAAGTATCCAGGTCATGAAAGGCAGACAAAGAGCTGTCACAGGCCAAGGAGATGAAGGAAACATGACAAAATACAATGAGGGCTCCTGACCAGAGAAAGAACATCAGGGGGGAAACTGGAAAATTTGGAAGTCTACAGATTAGTTTGTAGCAGTGGATCAGTTGATTTCCTTATTTTAATAGCTATACAGTAATTTTATAAGGTACAAATATTAAGAGAAGCCAAGAAGAGAGTACATGGGAACTCTACTTTGTGAAACTTTGTGTACATCAAATTATTTCTATACAAGGAGGAAAAAATAAAAGGAGCAACAGTTACTGAGGTAGGGAGCAGCAGACACAGCTCCTTGAGGGACTAGATGGTGATTGCCAGAGCCTTGTATCAGCTTCTGCCTGCCTCATGCCCACATTTTGTTAGGACACTCCTCTATCAGCCAAGGGACTCTGATACCTACTCCTCCTGCTTCCTGAAAGGCATTAGCTAACACCAAGTCTGGGTTCCGAATCAGCCCTATGGGGAGGGTGATGTGGTCGTCAATGGCAGCTATGGTAGATGGTGCCCGGCACCACCAGGCCTCGCTGTGCCTTGCTGAGCTGAGGGTGAAGCATGGGCTCACCCTCACTGACAGGGCAGTGTGCAGACCCTGTGCTCAGTGACTAACACGCAGACTTACCGGAGCTCGCTGCTGCAGGCGCACGAGCTGGGCCAGCAGTACAGGCAGGTAGACTTCAAGGCCACCCAGGCAGAGCCTGACCCCATGATCTTTCCCCGAGTTTCCCAATGTCTGTGTTGTTAAGGCTCCAGAAGGAGACCCCTGTAGAGAGGTGCTTGCTTTGTCTTTTGATTACTTTTGTCCAGCCCAGATCTGGGCAGGGTAGTGCAGCAGGCAGCATTTGTCCATGCTGCCCAAGTCCTAATTGGGAAGAAACATGATCTGGCCTTGACCCCAGATTATGGGGTGAGGAGGAACAGTAGTTATGATATGGCAGTGAAAGGGGGAGAGGTCTCTGGGCGCCTTCCCCTTGGAATTTTAAGGTGGGGAAAGAGGTAGCTACAGCCTGAGCAACAGCTCCATGCCTGGACCTCTGCACTCTCTCCATTCCAGTGGAGACATTCTGGGGGCTCAGCTGCATGAGGGCACAGCCTGGTCCCTGTCTTACAGCCAGTTACTCTTAGGTGCTATACAGCTGAGCTTCCTAGGAACACACCATGTCCAGAGACTATGGGGGAATGGGGATCATCCTGGAGGACAAAGATAAGGGACCCCCCCTAACTCTTCCCTGCCTTGATGGAGTGGAAAGGTAACTCTTCTTCTGAGGTTTGTCAGCAGGTGTTGGGCCCACAATGAAGGGGCAAGGGGTGAACAAAATTCCTGCTTTACACTTGGGGACTACAGAGGGTCTTTTAAGGGGCTGTGAGGAGGCAAGCAGCCTTAGGCTACAGGTGGAGGGGAGGGAGAGGCAGGAGGGCTAGTTGGTCAGTTGCCATGCCACAGCTGGAGGGCCTTTATTGGGTGCTGAGGGCATGGATGGGCAGGTAGTAGAAGGAAGAGGGTGGATCACACCTTCTCAGGGTGTAGTGGCGCCCGGATGTCCAGTTTGTGGGTCTTGCTGTCTTTATCAATGATTTCCAGCCTCAGTTTAGGAGGGCGCTTCTCAGCTTGGGGTGCGGGCAGCTCAGGGTTCTTGAGTAGCTGTTTGTCCGAGTCCTCCACAGTGATGCGCAGAGTGCAGCCTCCTGGCAGCAGGTCTTGTTCGTAGGCGGCAGCCAGCTGGTTCACCACGCGGCGCTCTACCTGCAGGTGGCAGGTACAGCGGCCATCACCACTGTTACACAGGCCAGCTAGGGCCTGAGCCCGGAGGCCAGACTCTATTACTTACTCCTAAGACAAGGTAGAAACCTTTGAGCTTGTTTTCTCATCTGCAATGTGGAGCTAACAACACATAGCTTGTAGGATTGTGCTCAAGACTCAGTGATGTCAGAGCCTGAGGATCCCAACTCAGTTTCCCATCCTGGTGGGGGCTCATACTCAGCTGTCTCCAGGACAGGGGTTTTACTTGCTCATACTATGTTTTGGGTTCTGAAAGAGCATCTGTTCTGCATATGGATAATTCCAACCCAAATCTAGGGAGAAAGGCTGGGAGAGTAGGATTGGGTCTTGGGGCTTCAGGGAGGGAGACATGGTTCCTTTCCTGTGCTCACCTCATGCTTAATGGAGCGGGCGCCATAGTGCACATTGTAGCCATCAACCAACACATCTGCCACCTCGCGGTCCCAGAGCAGTGTGATGTTGTGCCTTTGCTTGGCCTGAGACAGGAGAGAGCATGCTCACATGTGGCCCTGTGCTTTCCTTCACTCTGACCTGAGGCCTGGGCCCATGCGAGACAAGTGTCCCCAGAGCTGTTGCCCCTACTCCACTTCGTGACCATTTTGCAGAGGGGTTGCCCCCAGCCCGGTGAACCCTCATTTTCAGTGGGCAGAGGTCCTGTCCCCACCATGGTCAGCCCCCATTCTTACTCTCTTGGCCCAGAAGTTCAGTTCCTTGTTGACTAGCTGGATGAGTTCTGAGTGGCAGAAGGGGAGGAAGTAGACGATCTCATTGATTCGTCCCAAAAACTCATCCCTCCGGAAGTGGGCCTGCAGGGTTAGATTAGAAGTGGGATGAGCTCAATGACTGATAGGGAGCAAAAGGAATTATTGGATCCCTGTGGGGAAGATGGAGGGACTTGTATACATTTAGGATGGCTAAGATGATTTCAGCACTCCCCCCACCAGAGACTGTGGCAGAAGGACAAAGGCCTCTTACTTTTAGGATGGGACGAATCACATTCTCCTTGAAGTTCTTTGAGATGGTGATCTTGTCACTCATCTGGACATCACCTGTGGAAAGATAACCCATAAACTGCCTACTCCCTATACCTAAGGACCTTTGGGAGCTGTGTCCTGCCTAGGCCCCATCCATGAAGAGCTCTGTTCCTGTTCCTGATGGTCTGTGTGATCCTGGTCAAGGTCCCAGGCTCCCTCGGCTGTGGTCTAGTCCCCTCCCCTGAGCTGAGAGGATTGGCCTGGGTATTTTCTAAGGCCCTTCCAGGCCTCATATGCCACAAAGCCCGGCATTCTTCAGGGTGGGAACTGAGTGAAGAAAGGGAAGAAGGAGGAGAAGAGAGAAGATCAAGACAAGTTCTGATTTGGAAGAGGAGGCCTGGAGAACTCAGTCCTAAGTCCTAATAGAAAGGTGAGACATGGCTTCTTGTCTGATATACTCCTATTTTTTTTTTTTTAATGTTCCAGAAGGCAGGTTTATTATAAAAAGGAAAGGGAAGTAAAGGGATGCTTGCACAGATACGGCAGGCACAAAGAGCCGCTCTGAAAGGGACAGGTTTGTTGAGAGTCCTGCATTGTCGCTGGTGGGTGGCCTTGGGAGGAGAGCAGCCTCTGCTGCTTTGCAAGGGGGGCTGGTGAAGAGAAGCACCTGCACAGTCACAGTTGGGTGGGCAGGAGCGCTGCCCCATTGTGCTCCTGCCCAGGGCCCATCGACACAGGATGTCTTCTGGATGGAAAAAGGTGGTATCCACTTCCATAGTTTCTGACCTGACATCTCTTCATTGTACCCAAATGTCACTACCTGCCGAGCATATGTCTCCTCAGTCCCTAAGGCCCTGGCCTCTTCCTGGATATCTGTTCATTCCTCTATCTGGAGCTTTCTTGTCACCCAAGAGACTTGGGCTTTTTTGAGGAAATCTGGTATGAGTTTGGTGTCTAGGCAGTGCCAACAGGGACAAAACTGTCTACCAGGACTCTTCCCTAGGCCTTGGACCCTAATACCATCCTTGTCCCCAGAAAATGAGCTCATGGCATGGTTACCTGCCCAGTTACCCAGACAATTCAGGCCCTGTACCATACCAAGGTTCTCGGCGATACGGTTATGGCTCATTTCCAAAGCTTCCTGCCTCAGCTGCAGGGCATGCTGTGCGATCTCATCGCTGGCCACATTGGAGGTCATGATGAAGATGGCATCCTTGCAGTCAATGGTCTTCCCTTTGCCATCTGTCAGTCGGCCCTGGAAGCAGAGATGACACAGTCAGTGAACTACAAGACTGGGCAGCTTTTCTGGGAAGTCTGTCTGGAATCCCTATGTTTCCCCCAGCCCCAGGCAGCAGCTAATGTACCCACTAAGAGCCAGACCGCACCCACTTGTTGGCATCCCTAGGGTAGTCAATCACCTCTGGAGCCCAGAAATCTGCCTGAGTTAATGCATACATCTACTCAACACTTTCTTGGGGGCCCTCTCTGGACCATGTACTGTGCTGGGTTAGTAGGGACTCACTGAGCTTAGATTATGTTCCTGTGTTAGTAGAGTGACATCCAGAAAAGAAGCAATGGCAAATGACAATCATTGGGGTAAGTGTTGGGGTAAAGGGAGGCCCAGGTTGCACGGGAGTTTAGAGGAAGGTTATTCGACAGCTGGCCACTTGGGAATGTGATCATATTGAGGAAAGGCCCTTAGTGCACCATGCTGTGTTATTAATGTAGCAGACCCTTATCACACACACACACACAATCAAAGTGAGCAAAATGAAAGAAGTATAATGTCTGCATCTTTAGGGCCATTCTCTGGCCTGACACAGAATAGCCGCCTAGGGGGGCTTTTCTTTGAAATCTTCAGCAGTTTTTAGACGTGACAAAGCAAACATCTATATTGGAGATGCTCTAAGGAGAGAGGATAGAAGCAACAGCAGATAGAAGAGATAGAAGAATGAGAAAAGTACAGTTGTTTCTGGCCATTCAGTTCAAGGGCAAGACGCTCCATCCGACAACCAGCCTCCAACTTATCACTGTGTAAATGCACCTTAGTCTTTTATAACAAAAACAAGAGCCTCACTGAGAGAAAGCGATGGAACAGCAGCAGCAGGTCTGATGGACACCTCCACCCTCACTGCAGTGGCCTGCTCAGTGCTCTCCCCACTAAGTGATGGCACTTGCCCGCATCCTTATAACCCTTAGGAAACTGCCTCTGAAAGGTTCAGTAACTCATGTAAGGTCTCACAGCTAGAAAACAGAAGTGAGAGTGGAAGTATGTGTGTAATTCCAGAGTCTATGGCCTTCCCTCTGAATGAGGTTACTGAGGTCAGACCATCACTGCTGGATAAATGAGGCCTTGCGTAAGTTTCTTTCCCTAAATAGTTTCAGAACTTCCGCCAAATTCAGTTCGCCTCCTTTGGTCCTCACTGGAGAGAAGCAACTAGGGGAGCAGAAGAGAGCTATCTGGGACTTCTTTTGGGTGGCGGGCAGAGCATGGCTTCTGCCAGGCTGGACAATGTGGCCTTGGGGATAGGTCACTGGCCTCAGCCTGTTGGCTCCTGCCTGGGCAGCAATGCTGGGCCCTGCCCCAGATGCAACTAACCTCCTCAGGTTCAGCACTCACTTCCAAAGTCAATCCAACGGCAGACCAGCACTGGTCCCCAGAGCCCAAAGGGGAAGGACTATGCATTAACTGAGCATCTACTGTGAGCTGGGCACAGTTCCAAGTGATTTATAGCCTCATTTTCCACTGGTCTTTTGCCTCCCAGAAAGTGATCCAAGAGGATCTGTTCAAAGGGGGCCTGGTGATCTAGGTCCTAATCACTCTCCCAATTCCTGCCCTAGGGCAAAGGCAAAGATGGGTGTTCTTGAGCTTTTGCCATTAGTTTTCTGCTTCACCCCCCATCCCTGCTTACAGATGACACCACCAGAGAATCCACTTAGGGCAATTTTAGTCTGGGACCAGGCCTCAGTGTGTGTGACGTGCCCACACACATGTTTATGACACTGTGCTCCCCACTCACCTCACAGAACTCACCCTGAAGATCGAGTTCACACACTGCTGCACTGGCCAGAGCAATAACCTAGCAGCAATTTCATTCTGAGAGATCAAAGCTGCACTCGTAACTGTGCCTGCTGATGGGTCCCTGGTGGGCGAGGGGAGCAGGTGCAGCGCGTGACTGACCCAAAGGGTGACTCCCACAGTGCTCACGCCTCCTTTCTCAGAGTCCTTGGTAATAAAGATGTGGCCCAAAGAAGGAGCTGTCACTGACCCACGTGACACTGAGTGGAATGCAAATGCTCACTCCAGGGTGACAGGGCTGGCTTCCCGTAGTTTCATGTATGAATCTTCACAGGGAGGAGCAGAGGCTGGGCTCCCTGGGAAGTGCTGCAGTAGTCCTGCAGGGAGACTCCTACTTTTCTGCATCTAGGTTTAGGGGTATGTGCTGAGTGGAAATGAGGGTGGTGTCCCTCATGCCTCTAAACTGGAGTAGCTCTTACACTTCCTGGTACCAGCTACTCAGCCCAGTGCAGCACTCACCAGTGGGCTCAATGCTTTCTGCTGCCTGGGTCCCCCTCATTCGTGAACACAGAGACCGGCCTAGTGACTGTCTCCATCCTCTGCCTCACATAGTGCCACAGAATAACCAAATGAAACTAATTGATTTGTCTCTTACCTCTTTGGGACTTCCCTCTTTGACTCTTTCCAGATAGGTCCCAAGGTTCTTCTTTACCCTCTCCTCTTCTCTCCCTGGTTGAGAGATCTCATCCCTCTCTGTGGTCTCCGTTACCCTCTTGGTGCTGATGTAGTCCTCAATCTGTAATTCCTGTCCAGACTTCTCCTAAGCCCCAGGCCTCTATGGCTGAGGAATATTCTGGTTGTGCTTCAGGCACCTCATAACAATTCCAAACCTTAGCGCCTCACCTTCCTCACCCATCTGTTGCTCTTTCTCCTGCATGCTCTGCCTGAGTGGAAAGCAACAACAGCCAGGCCAGATGTCCCACTATGGGTCATCCTTGGGTCCTCCTCCTCTCCCACCCAACACGGAGCCCTGCGCAGTTCACCTTCTGGAAGCTCTCCCCAGACCATGGCCCCTGCTGTAGCAGGAGGCCCCAGTTCTTCAACAGAAGGGGAACCTCACTAGTTCCCCTTTTCTCACCACTGCCTTTAGGCTCTTTATGTGGTGAAAACCTGACCACATTTCTCTTCTTGATTAGAGTCTTCAGAGGTTCTTTTGGGTCTATCAAGTAAATTCACACTTCCTCACACTGTGACTGGCCTTTCACTGCACTACCCACCTTGTCGCCACCACTTTGCTCCACTGTCCTCTGCAGTGGAATAGTGCTGGACAGCCACAGAGACCAGAGACTTGTCTCAGGCCCCATGCTTCTGCACACTAAGTGTCTATCTGGCCCTATCTCCACTCTATCTGCTAAACACTTCATCTTTGGAAGGCTTGCTGAGTAACTGCTTCATTAAGTTAGTCAACGAAACCTTTTCCCTGTGATCGGACTCTGGGAACAGCTGGAGTGAGGACAGGTCCCTGTCCTCCAGGAGCACACAGATGCATAAATCTTCTCAGTAAACTTGGATGGCAATTTTGGTCAACAGATCTAAGGACACATATGCCAGAAACCCTAGTTGGCTGGTGGGGGTTGCAGGAAGGAACGAGCAACTCCTAAAAGGTAGTCAGTGGAGTGAAGGCAGCAGGGGAGGTGTGGGCAGGGCTTACACCTGGAGGGTGAGCATCTCCAGGTGGAGCTGGTTGTTTTTCAATCGGCAGTTGACTTCACTCTTTCTGGCCAAGGTTGCCCTCCCAGGCACCTATCTGTCTCTTTCTCCCCAAAGATTTATTTATTTAGGCACATAAGAACTGGGCACAGGCCAGAGGTGTGGAGGATGAGAGGGTTCACCAGAGACAAAGTAGGGGCAGAGACCAAGTGGATCCACTGAAATACTGTTGAGGGGAGCAGCAGGCAGGTCAGGAGAGGTCTGCCGTGCCATTTGTTTACCTCCCTGGCTGGAGATCGAACACATGCTGCAGTGGCTACTGACAGTGCTTTGCTTTAACCTGCTGTGCCACTAGGGAGGGTCCACTACCTCTCTCTTCATCTAGCTGCACGGTAGTTATTATTTAAGCTATTCACTCTGGAACTGGACTGTGTTTAAATCTAGACAAGTCAGTTATTTCACTTTATGTCAGTGCGCACATTTATTACACGGAGGCAATAATAAGAACTCCCTTCATAACATTGTTGGACTACAGAATTGATGTATCTGTATTTTTTAGAATTAATGCAAAAATGTCCATTATTATCACAACTCCTTTCTACCTGTCTACTAGGCAGGGAGCACCAGGAGGACATGCCTGGGCCTGGTCCATGTCCATTCTTGGTCTGTGCACCAGAATGCATTCAAGAGGCTGGGGCAGAGTGCGAGATCTCAGAGCACAGGGGTGGGAAACTATGCAACCTTTGAGGGACTAGCCCTCACTCCCCAACAGGTGGCACTGGGATAGGGAACAGCTGAGGTGTTAGAAAAACAGTCACAAAACAGCCAGGACAAGGATGCTGGGTCAGGCGAGGAAAGCAGTGGCAGCTATGGGGACATTTGGATCTAGGCCTTCCTGGCTTGGCACCTCAGCAAGTGCACATGGCAAGCAGAACCTTTTTCTGTTTTCCCAGAAAATGCTTAGTGGAAAGTTGGGTTGGACTCCAGTTGGCCCATGCTGGTTAACATGTCCCTGCATGGGAGCAGAAGCCTCATCCTTGGCCCTGCTCAAGTTGCTGAAAATGTCAGAGGCCAGCTTCTTGCATGATCATAAGCCCTGCCACCCCTGTTCAGGGCCAGGGGTGTTAGAGAATTGGGGCACTAGGATCAGCTCTATCTGCAGCCCAGTCCTTGTTCTCCACATAGCAGCTCTGTGGCCTTGGACAAGTCATTTACCTGTGTCACTTTCTCCATCTGTTAAAAAAATGAGTTTCTACCTTGCCTGGTTATTGTGATGATTAACAATAATGTTAATCTCAGTACAAGCTTAGTACAAAGAATATGCTAGATAAAAGAGTGCTTCTGGTTTAGAGCACATTCCACAAGTGGGGAGGACTGTTAGTTTGTGATGAGCATGGGAGTTCCTTACAAGAAAAGGGCTCTGTGAGCCAGAGCAGCACCTCATCATCATCATAAGCAGCAGCAAAGTTACTAAGAACCATTGGAAACAATTCTGACACACAGGGAAGAGCAGGAGCTATCTGGTTAGAAGGCTTCTTGGAGCTTATTTTAGATCCAGCTTCTTTGTCACCTGAGGTCCAAACTGGTGCCTAGAGATGGAGGATGGAACTTGGAGCTATCTCTCTCTCACCTTCTCTCCACTACTGCCCCACTCTGTCTTGCTAGAAGGCAGCCTGGGCAGTGAAAAAACTTCAGTTCTTGGGTAGTACTTGTCTTCCCTCAAGTGACCAGCCTGGACCCAGCGAGAGAGGGGTGACACTAGTCTGCTAATGGACTGTATGTACATTCCTCGACAGCAAGTCGAGGAATGACTGGGCAGGCCTCTGTTTTAACAGTCCCCCTCCCTCCATGCCAGTCCAAGCAGACTTTAACCTCATCAAACAACTGCAGCATGATGGTGAGCACGTCTGGATGGGCTTTGTCCACCTCATCGAAGAGCACCACAGCGTTGGGGCATTGCTTTAGCTTCTTGGTCAGCTGGCCACCCTCCTCGTGGCCGATGTAGCCTGGTGGGGACCCGATAAACTTGGCCACCTGAAGGGAGGAAGGATATGTGTTAGGGAGTTCTTCCAATGCTGTTTAGTTCCCAATCTGGGGCATGCACAGGAAGATGGTTTTCTACAGTGAGTTAGCCTGGCTCGATAAGGAGAGTCAGGTTGTCTCCTTTCTGGGATGGAGGAATCCTACAGTGATGGGAGAGCAGACACATCTTTTTAATGTTTATTCTTCAGAGCTAAACAGATCAGTGACCCTACTGCACACATAGGCCCCCAAGGACAAATCCCAACGCTGCTGAAATGATCTCAGACCCACATGACAAGCCACAAAAATGTCCAAGAAGAGTCATGTCGACAGGCTCTCTAAATCATGTTTCACCGAGGACTCTCCCTTACCTCATGACGCTCCTGGAACTCAGACATGTCCAGCCTGATGAAGCCCTGTGTGGAAAGAAGCAGGCACCAAGTCCATGGGGAGGTAGGACGGTAGAGGGAAGGGCTGAGGAGGTGGGCATCTCAAACATCCCCTCCACTTTCAGACCACAGAAACCCAAGATCTTTTTTTCTGATGTATTTTTTCTGGCTCCTTGCCTGGTTTACAGTGTATTCATCTTCCATGAGTTCGCTGAGCCCCTATATTAATAAACCCAAGTCATGTTCCTGCCATTCTAAGTATGGTTCAGAATGTCTCTTTTCTCAGGCAGGCTGCTAGTGATCTGATTACCACATCAGACACCCATGCACCCCTCCACATCTCCCGAGGGCATCCTGTGTGTTCTGGGTACTAGAGCCACAACGGTGAACACATCTTGGTCTCCCATCCATCAAGTAGGCCAGGCAGACATGGACAAAGTTAGTTATGATTGGTGATGCTCCTGATGAAACTGAGAGGACGATAAGTATCTTGAGCCTTCAACTTTGCAAGTGTGAATGGGGGGGCAGTCCCTTTATTATTTTAAAATAAAACGTTTATTTATTTTTTCATTTAATCTAAAAGCTTCCCACTGGTTGGCTTAGGGGTGATTTCCAGGAAGTGGTCTCCTAGGGTGAGGCTAGAACACAATTAGCTCCAGGGACAGAGACCAGTTTGTAGGTGGGATGCTTACATATCTCACAGTTAACACAGGCTGAGTAGCTCCTCCTTTAGGGAATTTAGGGAGTTACAAGGGCATTCACAGGTGCTTGTATTGTCACCCAGAGTCTCCCTAGGCTCTTTTCCCACTGGTACACATTTCCATCTGTGATCTGGAAATCTCTCCACTTCTGAGATCTGGGGGTCGTGGGGTGTCCAAGTTTCTGAGGTAGGTATGTCTGAAATTCAGACCTTATTCTAGCTTGGCTGCTTGGTCAGAATTCTCTGTGATGCTTGTCTAGTTCAACACTCTGCCCCTGAAGTACAGGGTGACAGAAAGAGCCCAGGGTTGGAGCCAGGGGACTCAGTTTCCAGTCATAGTACTGCCACTCTCTGTGTGGCCATGGGACTGTTGCGTCTCTATTTTCAGGTATTGTTTCCTTCAGTATATCACTGGGCCTTGGTTCCTCTCCCTAAGAGGGCCTAACCTAAGAGATGGAAATGGGCTTAGGAAACTTGTTAAAGTCATGTGTGTGTATGGGGGGGTTGGAGGTGAGACTGTTATCAGAGCACATGGGAATGAGCCAGCTTTCTCAGAGGTCTCAGGCAAATCAGCCAAGAGAAACACATACTTCAGAGAGGCTGGGAACTTGGACATGGAGAAGCTGGAGTGCTGCCCAGAGGGGGCAATGGGTTGGAGGTCATGAGATGGCTATCTGATGATAAAAGCTGACAGTCACTTAGAGCTTATTGTATGTCTGACAATGTTTTAAGCAAGCCACCAAAGGCTTAGAACATGTACAAGCCTATGAGGTACTATTATTATCCCCACTTTACAGAAGAGAAAACTGAGTCACAGATTAAAGTAATATGCCCAAGATGACCCAAACTTGGCAATATGACTCTAAAACTGTGCCCTTAGCCACTATATTTTGGTGCCTCATTTTTCCCGCTGTCAGTAAGTTGGGTTCTGGATAGTCTTCATCTGAAGAGTCCTCAGGTTCATGACCAGATGTCAATTAGTGTTTCAGGATACCAAGAATACAAACTCTAGTGCTTACTTATTTCAAGGGTGCCCTATCTAGTTCTTCTACTGGTTTTCTATGCAACGTTGAAGATGGGCATGGTTTTCTTGGCTGGAATAATTTTGGCTATCTATGAACTTAGCTTAAGGTTATCTAAAAGTTAGGTAATAATAATGACAATAATATTCAACATATATTGGTTGCTTACTGTGCCAAGGATGGTGGTTAGCATTTTAAGTATTATGTCCTTTGGCCGTCATAACAGTTCAATGAGCTAGGCCCTCTTATTGAACTTATTTTACAGATAAGAAATGTCATGTAAGCAGAGATCCAAGTCCGCACAGTGGCTTAGAGTTGGGATCTGAACCACAGCAGTTGGACTCAGATCCTTGCTTTTTATTCTTTTGTCATACTGCCACCATAACTGTAAGTCTTAGGGGTCATAATTTCACAATGAAATCACAGAATGCCATGAAGGTTCTTTCTCAGGGATTATTAACCCTACTAGAAATTAACAAAAAGCAGCTCAATTTGGGAGAAACAGAACAGGCTAATGGGAGAATAAAAATGCTCGAAGATCTGACAAAAGAAATTATAAAAATGTGCAAACAATGCCTTTGAGACAAAAAAGTCCAGAGGTATTAGTGACTCTTTATAAATGAGGAAACTGAGGGTCAGACCGCCAGAACTCAGTCATATCACTTGACTCTCAGGCTAGTGGTCATTTCATTTAGTCAGCTCCACTTTGCACTGGGCCTGGAATACCCTGGATGCTTTCCACACCCTATTCCTCAGGTCCTGGAGGTGTTAGGTGCCCTGATTAGACCTGTAGTACAGGAAGGCAGATCTCAAACATCTGGCTATATGAGCAGAAAGCATCTATGTTAAACAGTCTATGATGAGTTGGCTCACAGAGCTAGCACAGGTTATGAGTTATTGTAGAAGCACTAGTAAGGATTTAAAAATAAAATCTGTGGATGGTCATAATTGGTTTTCTCAAGTTTCCCATTTCCCAATGTGAATAGGGACAAAATGACACATTTACAATGTTGCCTCCTATTGTAACTGAAAACAATGGCACTGAGGAGGCAAGAGACTGTATTCTGATCTCCCTTCTTTCCCTAGTAAGGGACCTTGATAAGTCTTTAATGTTGCTGGGTCTCAGTTTTCTCATCTGAAGAGTAGGTCTAATTCGGATCTATCCTCCTCATAGATCAACTAAGACAACGGACAAGCTACCACTGTGTAGTGTGCATAGAGATGAATAAATATGAAACAGGGCAGCAGGTACCTGGAACATGCTAGACTTGTATGATATCTCTAGATCCTCACGACAACCTTAGACACAGGGTGGAGAGTTTTGAGACAGAGAGCTGAAACTCTGAGTGGCCAGTAGAAAGCAGAACTGGAATCTGAGCCAAGGAAAAGACTGGCACCAGACCCTGAACTACCCAGCCTGTCACCAAGGGGCGATGGTGTTCCTTTCTTCTAAGCCAGGCATGTGGAGAAGGATACCCTCATCACCCTTTCAGGACACTCTGCACTGGTGTGAGTGTGCCTTTCACTAAACAGATGCATCATCAGTATTTTAACAAGCTCTTTCTCCTTTCCACACCAGTAAGTTGGCAGATACTTTCCTTCTACTTCCACTGTGTATGAAGACATATTAAGACAGCTTGGATAAGGAGATTATAATTTGTAATTAAATATTAACCTTTCTGACAGTATTAAAATTAAACCACTCAGAATTCTTCATCCCTAATCAGGTGGTTCCTGCCCGTAACTGCATCTTCCCTAATAGTCTTGCTAGTTTATGGCTCTTTCCAGAGTGCTAATTGTTTCAATCGCTGCCAACCTGATGAATTATCCTAAAAATGCTATTTCAGCTGAGCATATTAGCATGCCATGTGCCGCTTCTTGCCTGCCTGCCTGTCAAGTGGGTCTGTTCTGGCTTTGGTTGAGGCAGCCCTTAGCCAGGCCGAGGTAAGGAGGCCAAGGAACCTCCAGTTGGTTATTAGTCAGACAAGGGCTGTGGATGTGACTCAGGAAGACAGTCTGAGCTACCTTGTTTCTGTGGCTGCCAGACTCTCAGGGAGTAGCAAGAAGGCAGTTAAGTCTGAAGTAGAGTTCCCATGGGACAGGACTTTTTGCTGTTGGGGCCAAATGGCCAGCAGAGACCTGAACAACACCTCACTGCCCCAGCTGGGAGGTTCTCCAAGCCAGGCAAGGGCATCTAGTGTCAGGGAAAATGGGAATCTCAGCCTCCATACTAGGAAGGCTCATACAAGAATGTTTGGCTATAGTCGAACTGTTTCTGCAGTCTCCAGTGATTACTCTTTCTGAACATTTCTCTCTGTTCTGCATGAAAGCAAAATCCTGTGAGTCTAGAAAGTCAAAATAAACAGGCCTTGGAAAGACCGAGCCTGGGAGGCAGTGGGGATGAATAGGATGGGACGGGTCTCTCCTATAGTAAGTCACAAAGGAATGGGAACTGTGACTGTCTCACAGCCAAGGGTATACAAGACCATGTTTATAAGCTTAGAATGAAAGAGTAGTAATGTATCCTCTTTTCTCTGCTCATTTTCTCCTTTAGGCCCGAAGATTCCCTCTAGCATGGCTGTGATAGCACTGGACAGTAAGAGTATGTTTCTAAAGCTGCTGTCCTCTGCAGACTTAGGTCCTCAGGGCAGAGAGAATGTCTTCATCAATGCTATTATCAGTATCACATACAATTACTGACACAGAGTGGATGCTTGAAAATACTGTATCGATAAATTTAACTTGGTCCCTCAAAAACGGGGGGGGATGGGGTAGGGAGGGAAATGCACGGGACTATGGTGGTGGCACAGGGGTGATTTGGTGATGGGAAACCCATGGGGATTACAATTGAGATGAAAAAAAAAATGTGAAAAATGATGTAAAAATAAACTTTTTAATAAAAAAAATGCAAAAAAAAAAAAAAAAAAAAAAATTTAACTTGGTCCCTCAAGTGCCCCAAGTTAAGAAGATAAAGAAACTGAGGTCCAACGAAGGTTGATAACTTGCCCAATTCCTGGAAGACCTGATGGCCAAACAGGGACCAGGTTTGAGATCTGCTTCCTAAGCCAAGGCTCATCTTTTTGATCAGCTATTGCCAGATCCAGGAAGCCTAAGAGTTTCTGGATTAGCAGAGCAGTGTAGTCTCTGATCGACAGATCAGGCCTCTGGTCCTTACCTTTTTGGCATCCTTGTGCATATATTTGGCTGTCTGTTTGGCCAGCTCTGTTTTCCCTATGAAGAAGGAAGGGAGAGGTACTGGATTAGGACCAACGATATCACTAACACCTGAAATGAAAGTAATTAGAAATGAATGAAAATACCACAACTGACAGATGGGAGTTTTGAGGGTCAGTGATACTCCCAAATTCAATGAGGGCATTAATGGTGAAAGTGGGATCACCACTTGAAATGAAAGTATACATTGCATCTTGACTTTCCTGTGGATGGGACTGAGGTTTTTTCACTATAGCCACATTCGAAAGTATGGGAAGTTGTCTTATAATCCAGATCCCACCTGTACTTTCAAGCCCAGCACAAACCTTGCCTTTCCTAGTTGCTCCCTGACCTCCTGGCTCCCCACACTGCAACTCTCTAGAACACCCCTGGTCTTGCTATCTGCATGCTAAGAAGAGGGTGGGAGAGGCTAACAGGCACCTCTCCTTGGTTTCGCTGCCTTTGTAACATAAAGAAGGGATGACAATACCAGAAGAGGTGGCTCTGAAGTACCATTAGGTGTGATGGTGAAGCCTCTGGAAGTCACTGTGCAGTACAGGAAGTCAAATTCTATAGTACCATAGCATCATAGCACCATGGTGAGGTGACAGTAAACTCTGTGACCCTGCATCTGAGGGAGAACTGGGCCCATACACATCGTGAGAGGGGAAGGTGAGGTAACAAACCCACAAAGTTTCCCATCCAGACAATGGTGGGAGGTGGTGGGAATTGTGATGGTGGAGAGTGAGGGCTGAGTACGCTTCATCTAATCCAGCCCAAATAATAATCCATCTAATGTACTGCAACCTCTTTAGCTATGTACCTAGCACTGTGCTGGCCACCAGAGGCTTTCTTTAGCTTACTAAAGGGTTGTGTCCCAGGATGTCCTGAATAAGGTTAGCACGCTGGCAATGGAGGTGGTATACCCAAAAGGCTGTCTCTGTGTATGCAGACTGTCTATATCAGGGCTAAGAGATTCCCAAGAGGCTGCTCCTAATTCTCCAGAATTAGGTCCTGTACCACTGCTTCTAGAGGGAGGGAAAAATTTCAGCTGTCCCTAAGGTGACATGATCAAAAACAAAGTCCTCTTGCTGGCTCTGTATTTGGAGGCTGTGGTTTTGGTAGGTGAACTAGAGGTGGCTCAACTGGGGCTGTCAGTTTTGCATGCTCCCCCAGGTCTCCTCCCTCCTGGCAATTCTGCTCCCAGTTACCTATTCCAGACGATCCCAAGAAGAGGAAGACCAGAGGGTGTTCTTCATCATACCAGCCATTCTCCTTCCTCCGGATTGCTAGGGCCAAACACACAAGATGGGGGGACGGGGAGGGAGGCAGATAAATCAATGACACAAAAGGCAGGATAATTATCACTAAGTATACAATATGTTTTACTGCTCTGCGCCCACTCAAAGTCCTCACTACCATTAGTGCTGCCTAATCTGATTAGCTGGCAAGGCCCCTAGAGACACCTAATCAGGTTAGCATGGATTTGGAAAGCTGCCCAGAGCAGATTTCGGATAAAGTTTTCCAGGATGAGCACTCAGTGTTGCCAGGGAAACTGAAAGGCGGGTGGATGGTGAATGGAGGTGAAGGGAGTGGGGGGCTGGTGAAGGAGAATTCAAGAGGAACTTTAGCTGTCAGCTGGTTACCAATCTATTCGCCAATCGCGGAACTCTGAGCTTACTCCTTGCAAATGGAGAGGCAGGATCCCCTGGCAGGACTGGGGGATCCAGAATGTGAGCTCTGGACCCTTTCCCATTTGGGGAAACCAAGGCCCAGTCCACTGTCTAGAAGTATAGCCAAATGTACCTTCTGGAAGCTAATCGAGCATGTATGGAGCTTAGGGCCCAGGAAGGGTAAGCCACTTGGTTAGCATCTCTACCTACAATGGGGAGAATGCCACAGATATGTACTATTTTCCCTCGGGGCTCAGTTCTGAGACCTAACCCCTTTTCTTTCTGGAGAAGGTATATAATGATGCGCTGTGTAACCAAGGTAATGAAACTGAGTAACAAGTTACAAAGTGGGAGAAGCAGGCTAAGAAGCACTGCTTCTGTGGAAGCATCATTCAAGCGGAAGAGCAGGGGTGGAAAAGGGCAGACTCACCAGAAGAACTATTTATTGAATGTGCTACCTATCACTGGAAAAACTGCCAACATTTTACCATTCAAGACCCATACAAACTCCCTGAAAGTAGTATTTTTGGCTCCAAAATACTGACTAGGAAACTGAGGCACAAGATTGAGATTTGTCTCAATCACACAATGAGTAATAGTAGAGTCGGTCTCTCTTTAAGGCTTTTTTTTTTTTTTGGTTATATACGGTTGCTAAAAAAAGTAAGCATCACTTTAGGTTGCATTAATGAAACATGGCAGTCAGAAGCAGGGAGGGGACAGAGTGCTTTGCAATATCTAGGTTGGTCTGTTAGATTGCAAGCTGTTTTAGGAATAACTGTTTTAGGAGCTCAAGTCCCTGTTGTGGTCTTTCTCATCTCAATCTACTGCTTCAACTTAAAGTGCTTTCGCTCTAGTCTGGCCATGACAGAAACACATGGAAATTATGCAACTTTATGGGCATCAGATTAGACGCAGCCTAAGTGTAAGATGCTCCCTGAGAATCCTGAAGAAGGCCTGAGGAGACACTAAGTCCAATCTCTCCCCTGGTCAAGGTCCCAGATCTCTAAACTGACTGGCTTGGTGCTCTGGAAGGCTTGACTCCAAGGAAACCCACAGGTCTCATAGGAACCTCAAGCCTCACTGAGAGGAGTCCCCAGTATCCTGTCAGAAAGAACCTGGGGACAGGGGTATTCAGGGAGATGGAGGTATAAATGGCAAAGGATAGACTTTCGCCAAGCACTTTGTGTGGATGTAGGTTGAGGAGGAAGTGAGAGAGTGGTCATCTGAAAGGAGTCACCTTCTTTAAATAGTTGGCTGAACTGAGAATGTAGGTTGGAAAGAAGCTGAAATGTTGAGGCCACACTCATACAAGTGGCCCCCAGGGTAAATGGGATCCCCCAGAATGTCAAGTACCTGAGATTCTGATTCTAACCTCTCTTTCAGGAAAGTTTCCCAACCCACTGAGAGCTGCAGACTGCTGGGCTATGTGGTTCAAAAACACCAAGGAGAATGTGGAAATTGGATTATGCCTGGGGCCATCTTTCCCCCCTTCTTTTCTAATAATGCACCTTGGAGAGAGCTCTTTATAATGCCAGGCAGACTCCACTGCACAGCTGTCCCTGGTCAATTCTGCCAGACCCAGGGCATGAATCTGGAGTGGGCTTGATCTGGGCCCCCCATGAAACAGGCGAAATGCCAACCATTAAGCAATTACAACTCTGGATATTTCTAATAATATCTGAAGAGAAAAACGGCCAAGCAGATGGAGTCCGACAGAATGAAAAATGGAAGCAGCTATAAAGGACTGGGGAAGGCAGGCTCCCAGAGTGTGTGGTTGGCAGGGTGGCTGAGGACCAAGGACCAGGGAGCCTTGAGGGCCCTGTCAGCCAGGGTAGAGGCTGGGACAGTCAGAGACCTGCATGGGCCCTCTTGGGATGTGGCTGCGGATGCCAGTGATCTCACAGTGGACTAGAAAATCCAGCAATTTACTTTGGCAGCACTTCACAGTCTATAAAGAACTTCTGTACACGTAATTGCATTTGAGCCTTGTTATGGATTTATGAGGCAGGCAGGGCAGGGACTTGATTCCCATTTTATAGATGAGAAAGTAGATGAGTTAGGTGACCTGCTCAAGGTTACAGTTAAATAAATGAAGACCCTGGGATTTAGCCCCAGCTCCTGGAAAACTATCCCCATGTGTCTTCCAGATTGGCTCACTCAGTTATTCTGCCCATGGCCTGAGGAGCCAATCTCCCGATGTCTCAGTACTGCACTCTGGGTTCAAGGTCAACCGAGCTGGCAGCTCAGCCCCTTTCCACGCTGGTGCCACCTGCAGGGCCCACCTGCAGGTTCTAACAGGCTCTGCTGCTGCTCCACAGGCTGGGCCAGGGCCTCCTGGCTGTGTCCTACCCTTACTAGGACATGTTCTCCTGGCCATGTCTGCCACAGCCGAGCCACCTTAAAGCTCACTTGCAGCAGCCTTGTTAATTAACTCCCCCACACCACATCCTCACCACTGACTCCTGGGGCACTCTGGCGTGTGCTCATCTCCAGGGCTGTAGGGCACAGAGGGCAGGAGTACATGAGCTAGTTCGGAACCCAGGCGCTGCTGCTTACTAGCTAACTTTGAGTAAGATGCTCCTTTAAAATCTGTTTCTTCACCTACAAAACGAGCAATCGCATATGCTGAGTCAGCCCCATCAAGATGAAATTAGTAGATGATTATAAAGCACTTTTTAAGTTGCAAAGAGTGGAATAAGTAAAAAATAATGATCATTACAGCAACAGCAGCTCTACAGGCATCTCTTTCACTCTTATACTAATTCAGTGAAGTAGGTATTAGGAGGTATTATTTCCATTTTACAGAGGAGACTGAGATTCAGAAGAGGGCAGTGGGAAAGATTTCATCTGTCAGCACCCTCAACAGGGGAAAGGCGGACCCAGACCTTTCTATTCCATAATAGCAGATGCCAGGTGTCCTACTGATAGAGGGGCTCCTTCTATTTTTTTTTTAAGCTTTATTTTATTTATACATATAAGTACCAGGGTGTAGGTGGTGAGAGGATTCACCACAGACAGAGTGGGAAGCAGAGGAGGCAGATTGACTGAAATACACTGCTGAGGGGAGCAAACAGTGGCGAGACAGGAGAGGTCTGCTGTGCCATGTGGGTCAGCTCCCTGGCTGGGGATAGCTTCATAGTGCTGAGACTTAATCCCCTGTCCCACCAGGGAGGCCCCCAAGGGGGTCTCCAGAAGAGTCCCTCACTAGACTGCTGGTTAAAAGAATTCTTGGTTTTTCTGGAGATTACAAGTGGGAAAAAACAGCTATTTCAGCTCCCATTTTACAAGGAAATGTGAGGCCAGACCAAGAGTCTCTTATGGCTACAAGTGGTTACTACTGCCCTTGGTAAATTTGGCTTCCACTTTCTTCTTAATCCCTCTTCATGGGGTCTTTGTCAATCTGTCAAACAGACAAGCTCTGTGCTGGATGCGAGGGCACCCTAAAGAAGCCTAAAACAAAGTTGTGTCTTTTAGGTAAATGTTACTTTGAACACTGGGTTCCAAATGGGATGGCAGCACCCAGAAAAGTGTGGAAGGAACCCTTTGTACCTGACTGATGTTTGTGCCAAAACATAAGGGGAGTTCATGCAGTCAGGGTAGGATGGGACATTTGTGCCTCGGGTTTGGAGGTTGCAAGAGAACACATCTCTTCTTAGTATGGAAGGACTTGTCTTTATGAAGGCAAATGACTGCTACTGTCTAACATTAAAAATGCAAAAATAAGTTTTTGCTGAGCCTTCAGCAAACCCCCCCCAATTGCGTGTACAAGTATGTGCATGCACATGTGGGCTCACACTTTTTCACTTGAATTCAACCTGTGTGGGCAACCCTGTGGGAACAGCTGAATGAAAGGTAGTTTCTGACCTTTGAGAGGTAAAGTGAAAGAGGCAGGCTCCACAGAGCATACGTAACATGGGCACAGGTGAAGCTTGTGGCAGAACAACAATTTTGCAGATTAATCACTACCAATCCTTAGTGAAGGGCTGACCTATTTCTCAGCTCAGAAGGGAAGGTTGAGAAAGGTGTAGGGGCTGGGCACATTATATTTTGGAACAGTCAAAGAGGGAAGGGAAACATGAGATAGGACAGTGAGCCCAAGGTGTATGCGGCATGGTTGATACCGAATCCTGAACAGCTTGAACTCGGAGCAGACCCCAGATAGGATGAGGAGGCAGAGGCAGGTGCGGAAGTAGATGAGAGAGGGCCTTCCCTGGTGATGCAACAGGTTGAAGCACAGCACTATGAAGCTATTGCAGCCACTGCAGCACAAGTTCGATCCCTGGCCAGGGGGTGACACACAAGGCGTGGCAGACCTCTCCAGACCCACCCACTGCTCCCCTCAGCAGCATATTTCTGCTCCCCACTCTGTCTTTGGTGAATCCTCCCCCCCCACCTCTGACCTGTACCCCAGTTCTGTATGTTTAAATAAAGTTTAAAAAAAAATAAAGTAGATGATAGAGCTTGATACCTGATTGGCTGTAAGGATGACAACGAGGATTGGGGTGGTCAATGAATCCTCTACATTTCTTTTGAGAAGCCAGTGACAGGAGTGCCTTTACTGAGAAAGGTACACAGGAGGTGGGCAGGTTGGGGGGTGGCAGAGTGGAACACTGATTTTTCTGAATGGGCACTGGTTGCCTTTCTGAGGAACACGGTGGAGTACAAAGGTGCTGAGGTTCTAGGAGGTCTGCCTGACAGGGTAGATGCCCACCCGCTCCCACTACCAAGAGCAGTCTGGATTCGAGAAGGAGAGTCCCACCTTCAATGCCAACGCTCTGGCTTGTGGAGTGTAGACTGGCCCTGTTTTGGCTCTAGTGACCCTAGAAGACCAGAGAGGCCATGGGACCTGGGTTGTGGGGCTGGTGCTTTATCTCCTGCATTTGTAAGGTGGTAACTGTGCGCCAGCCTTGCTAGAAGCCCTGCAGCTGGGGATCACACTGATAAATTCACTGTATTACTTTGCACAAATCAATATCCCAGCACTTACCAGGGGTTGATGTGACCGAAATTGGTTTCAGCCAATTCGTGAGGGTAATAAATGGCCATTTATCAAATCAATTCATTCTGCAGCACTTCACTGACTGCCCATCCTCATGGCACCCATGGGGTGCCAGGCTCCACCCAGCCAGTCCCTACCACACATTATCAGAGACTAGCCTGGGTAACCCAGAGAGGCCTGGCCTAGCTTCTTGAGCCACCCCTCTCCTGCACCTGCAGGCCCTTGAGGACCTGAGGTACTAGCTGCTTGCCTACTACAAAGTCTGACCCAGACAACACCTTGTATGTGTTAAGAGCTAAGAGCTGAAAGTTATCTGACTGTTACCTTTGTGATCCCAGGAGCAGAGCTCCTCAGCAAGGTGGGTGCAGTTGTTGCCTTACAAACAGAGGAAATAAAGCACAATCCCCAGAGCCCAGGCCCCAATAGGTCTTTTTTGGAGTCACTAGAGCTAAGCTGAGTCAACCTACAAGCCACAGGACAAGTAGAGCCATTCTAATCTGAGGCAGAGTTCTGGTGACAGAATGGAGCCCTGGATAGAAAGATTCAGGGTAGATGCTAATATTTTGGGCAACGGGATAAGAGGAGGCAAGGAGAAAGTGGATGATGCATCAGAGGTTAGTAAGGGAACAGGGGAAGAGGTAAGTCTGGACTGGCATTAAGGACCATTCCAGTCTTAAAGAAAATAACTGTGGGGATATTACTGATCTAACAGAACTAACTGTCCTAAAGAGCACAGTGCCTAGCCCTAGAAGGTAAATGGCTTGAAGAAGGGACTGTTTATTCATTGCTGTTAGGCACATACTAGAACTGAAAAAGCCAGTCAGTGATGGACTGGGCTAGACCCCCTGACGCCCCCCTCTCCTCAGGATACAGACGAGGAAACTGAAACATGGAGAAGCAGACTAGCCTGAGCTGCACAGCTGCCAAGGGGCCAACCTGTTATTGGAGGCCAGGTTGGTCCAACTCTTTCCATCTCCATGACTTTCGCCTCCTCCCACCCCCAACTGTCTACTTCTGGAAGCTTCACAACCCAGAGCCCTGAGAAGACAGGGAGAAGTAGGTGAGAGAAGCAGGCAACTGCTGGGAAAAAGCTGTGTAAAAAGTGGAGGGGAAATTACATTGCCAGCTACAGTTCTGGCCCATGTGGGCATGAGGCGGTAGCTGAACATACTGTCTTAGGTACCCGCTCCATAATGTATCTCCCACAGACTCCTTTCTTCAACTCGAGGGGCTTCCTGACTCTCCCTTCCCTCCACCTCAGATATTGCCTTGGTAAAGAAGGGGAGGGGCGGCTGCCAAGGTGGTGGTAGAGGGTGGATATCTGCACCCCGACCTAAGCAGCAGCCTGGTGGGGTGGGCCTGAGTAGGGGAGCTTTGTGCATTCAGAGAAAGTTCTCTCCGGCTCCTATGTGTGCCTGCAGGCAGCCTCTGACCTCTAGTTATTGAAGCAGTGCTGGTCTATGGGCCCCTTTTATCTGCAGGGTCAGGCTCCTGATGAGGGGCCTGTGCGTCCCAGTGGTACGTGAGGATGGAGACGAGGCTGGGCCCAGTGCGTCACAGGAGCAGCTGCCCTCTATTTTCAATTACTCCTCTAATTGGTATCTAAGAGTGAATGGTGTGATCCCAGAATGTTCCAAAGGGTCATCATAGCTTCAGTCTGATGCTTTCTTTCGTCAGGATCAGAACCTGGTGCTGCCTTGGCAGTCACTGACTGAATTAGGTGGAACTAGATGCTTGGAGAGAAGAAGTTAGTAACCTGTGAACTAAGACACTGCAGGTCAGAGGGCTTAAAGTTGAAATGAATGGGGACTACGCCTGAGGGGAGAAATAAAAAATTTAACAATGTAAGAAAATAAATCTAAAAAAGCCACACAAAAACAAAACTTGAGCTGAGCATCAAAATAGCCTGCAGGGCTTGTGAAAACAGATTGTTGGGCCCTAAGTTTCTGATTCCATAGCTCTGGATTGGGGCCAGAAATCTGCATCTGAAAGTTTCCAGAGAGGCCCTCCCTGGTGGTGCAATGGGTTACAGCGCAGCACTGCAAGCTGGCTGTAGCCCTGTAAGTGATGAGTTCGATCCCTGGCCCCAGAGGTAATCCACCTGGTGCGGCAGACCTCTCCTGATCCGCCCGCTGCTCCCCTCAGCAATGTACTTCGTCAGTCGACCTGTTTTGCTCCCCACTGTCTCCACTGAACCCTCTCACAGCCCCTGCACTCTGCCTATACCCCAGTTCTGTATCCATAAATAAATAAATCTTTTTTTAAAAAATAAAAGTTTCTGGAGAACAGAGATGTTGCTAGTCCTGAGACTGTGCTTTGAGAACTACTGCCTTGGGGACACCCTTGTCTAAGCGGGGCCTAGGGTTTCTCTGCCTTGCCTCATCTGTCTTGAGATGCCCCTTAGAGTCATATACCTGAGTCAGAATAAAGATGAGGCCACTGTCTTGAGCAGAATCCCAGTTTCATCTCTTTCCATGGGGTGTGCCTGGGCAGGAGGCCAGGGTTGAGGAGGTAGCATGGCTCCGAGCAGTCAAAACACAGTGTTTTGCAAGCATCCTTAGTAGGGGACTTAGTAGGGGAACTGAGCTTCCTAGCCCCAGCCAGTCGCTGAGCTTTTTCTCTGGGCTCACTCTGGTGTTCTCCGGTTGTCTTGTGGCCTTGCCTTTAAGTGGTCTTCCTTGCCATGCTGCCACCACTGCCTTGATTCCTCGCTTCTAGGCACAGGTGTGAGCATCCAAACATGCACACTCCCCAGAAATGCAGATTTCTGGCCCCAACTCAGAGCTATGAACTCAGGTGTGTACAACTACAGCCAAGTGTGCCAAGTGTGCACTGAGCATCCTTGGGCTTGAGCATCCACATTAGTGGCAGGAGGGCGGAAAATAAGCCCAAGTTAACTTCATTTACCCTACACATGGACAGACCTTTAGGGAGAAAAAGCTCTCTTTCAGGATGACCTCCTGGAAACTGAACCATCTGCCGGCAACCTGGACTAAAGTATGGCAGTGTCTCAGGCTGAGAGATATAAATCAGAAGTCCATGTTTGGCTCAGCTGCTCCCTTCTTGAGTCTCAGTTTTCCTACCTGGAAAGTAGGCTTCAGGCAACAGACCACAGAAGGTCAGAGTTAAAGTCTAGGCTAGGGAAGCAGCCTTGAGCAAAGGACTGAAGTGCTCTTCTCACTGGTAAATCAGGGGCTTAATGGTACCAACCTCACAGGGGTGTGATAGGGATTAAATGACATGGCATGTGCCGAGAGCTTGTCACAGTGTCTAGCATGTAGAACGTAAAAAATAAAGCTGTAATATTATCAGCCACCTCTGCACAGGAGGGTGGCAGCAGGATGCACACCTCACTGGAGCAGACCGGGGCAAGGGCTGGCTGGCGGTCTGCATACTCACCAGCGCCCACCGTGGCGATAGCGTTCTCCTGTCCGATGATGTGCTCTCTCAGCCGCTGCTCCAGGGGAAAGCGGCGCCGCTCCTCAGCCTCTCGTTTCCGTTGCTTCTCCTGGTACTTTGGGGGGAGAGGGAAGGTGGTTCAGGAGCACTGGTCAGGGGCAAAACACAGGTCTGGGTCTCCAGGGGTTTTGATTCACAGCTCTGACTCATAATCACTAGAGCTGGTCCAGTCTTTCCCTCTGTTCCTTCATCCTGACCCTCACCCCATCTCCAGTGGTCACTGTTCTGGGTCCTGGCTCCCCCTACTAGTAAAACAAATACTACTAGTAGAGTAACCCTTGACTCTGGAGTCCGACAGAAGACCTGAGTTCGAATCCCAGCTTTATTACTTATACCGATGTGTTTATTGCCTGGAACAAGTTCCTACATCTCAGTTTTCTCAGCTGTAAATTGGGAATTTAGCATGATCCTGGCTGGCATGTGGTGAATACTTAATATATACTTCCCTTTTCTCATCCTCTTGAAAATCGCTTTGGTTTTCAAGCCAGTTATGAACATGCTCTGTTCAACAGCACTGCATTTCACTTAGATATAATTATTCAGCAATGGCTCTGTGCTAGGTCCTCAGCAGGCCAGGATGAAAAGTAAGGTGGACTAAGGAGGGTGAACTAAGAGGACAGTATCCTGCCCTGGGAGGTTCCAGCAGATGCTGAGAGCCTGGTGTGTGCCTAACTCTCTGCTTAGTCCACTTCAGAAAACATGAGAGGGGGAGGCATGAACTAGGTCACGCTGAGAAGATGAAGTGGAGAGCCAGACCTTGCCCCTAGGGAGATCAAGTTTGGCAGAGGAGGTGAGTCTACAAATACTCAGGAACAACAGAACTTTTCCTCATGTTCTGAAGCACACATGCCTACTTCTAGCACTGTACCTATCACTAAAAAGCCTACCTGAAAACAGGTTTGCTGCACACTTTTGACTCTGCCTTCCAAATCAATTATGAGTTCCCTGAGGGCAGACATTGTCTTTACTCACTGCGGTTCCCAGCACAGTGGAGGCATCTGAATGTTTGCAAAAATAAATTTGATGACAGATGGGAAGAGGAGAGTATGAGCAGACTGGGTGCAGGGGAGGATACATAAAGCATGGTTCTTTTTTTTGGTGGTGGTGGTGGTGGCTTCCTGGGAGACAGGGGGCTTGAAGAAGCTGGAATACTAGGTGGGGCGGTGGTTGTGGGACTATACAGAGACCAGGCAGGCAGGGAGGGTGTGCAGGTCTGGGGGCTGGAGATGGAGAGAAGAAAGCAGGTCTTGGATTGGGATGGAAAGAACCAAGTGTTCAGAAGCCTCTCTTCCCCTAAGACCCTGATAACACTGACAGCTTTCTAGAAAGAGAGTTGCCAACGTAAGGCCCTGTCATAAAAGTTGTAGCTGCAGATTGCTCTTGCGGGCAGAGTGGATGAAAAATACCTGCTGCTTGGGCAGTGTTTTCCTGTTACGGTAGTGACCTTGACAGAAGTTAAAAAAAATAAATAGCAAACAATCCAATTTTGGCTGTTGCTATCAGTCTGTAACTGAAAGCTCCCATCAGTCCTGGGGTTTCATATGGAGCAATAATTCGGTACTGATCCCAGTGGAGTGACACTTGCCGGTTGGAATCCAGAGTGTCACTGTGCAGCTCCCTCAGGCGCCACATACATCACCCAGCTCTGACGACTCCTGCCATATATCTGCTTCCTTCTCCTCCCTGCCCACCCAGCCTCTGTCAGTGCTCAGGGTCCATGGGCTGGAAGGCTCTGACGGTGAGATGCACAGGTGCTGCAGGCGCTTGCTGGTACAGTACCAGCTTGTGTGAAGGAGGCTTGAAGCGATAAGAGACTGGCCCCCAAGGGTTTGCTGGGTCTGGCTCCTCCCTTCTACTCAGTGATGGGTCTGAGTATCTTGCCTCTGGGCCATTGGTTACATTGTTCCCTCAAGCTTTCTCTAGTCCTGTCTATTTCTGAGTGGCCTGGTGATCCCTGCTTCAATAGCATGTTGTCGGGGGAGACTGCTGTAAGGCTTTGTGCCTGCCCCTGGGATCTCTAGGGCACTTGTTAAACCACCTGCTTGTCTCTCTATGCTCAATCATGAGGTCTTCAGAGATAAAGACCATGCCGTATTCATCTTTTTAGCTCCAGCCATCGCACAGGGCCTAGCTCATGGGAGTCAGTACATGCTGACAAGTGAATGACGTGGCTACAATTTGAAGACTAGCTGCTGCCTGCCAGGCACTGTACTCAGCACTTGGTGTGTAATGTCTCCTTTAGTCGCTGCATTATTTGGAGCAATAATTCGGTACTGATCCCAGTGGAGTGACAATTGCCAGCTGGAATCCAGAGTGTCACTGTGCAGCTCCCTCAGGCGCCACATAGATCACATACATCACAGCTCTGGTGACTCCCGCCCTCTATCTGCTTCCTCCTCCCTGTCCACCCAGCCCCTTGGATCTTCTTTTGGCTTACAGTGGGACAGGATATGTGTGGAAGAATGAACAAGCTTTGCTCCAAAGACCTGAATTCTAACCTCACCTCATCTACTGACTAGTTAGCTGGCCTTGGAGAAGTCAATTCACCTCCCAGAATTTTAGTTTCTCCATCTCTCACATGGGCTGGTACTCATACCTACCTTGCAGTGTCTCTGTGGGACATGGGGGACAATTACATGAAATAATTTGAGGGTCTCTGGCACACAGTGGACAGCATAGTAGCAGGCCCTCTGCAAGCCTTTGGTAATGTTAGCCTTCCTCTTTGCTGTATCTTGAGAACTGATGGGCAATTTCTGGGGCAGGAACTCTTAGCTAATTTAATCTACATGGTGCTCCAAAGATAAAGGGAAGAGTTGCTGTGGCTTAAGAGGAAGCCAGATACCAAGTCTAGTTGGGTGTTCTTCTGCTCTTGAGGCTCCTTCCTCTAGAAGCCCTAGTTGGGAGGACCACCATCTCAACACCAATTCTGGGGAAGCCTCAACTGCTTGGTGCTCACCTTTGCTCACTGATTTTCCTTTTGTAGTAGAGAATTCTGCTTTTAGGTACTTTACAGCCACAGGACATAGTTTTTCCTTTGCTACAGGCAAATCCAACATGAGTTTTCTCACTACTTTGTTGGTTTGAGTATGACCACCGTGGCTTCCCTAAGTGTTCTCCAGGCCAACATTTCTGTACCTCTTCTTCAATGGCATAGTTTTAGGTTGTTCTAATATTCCTCACATTTTCTTGGACAAACAGAAGGGCCCTTGACTTCCATACAAGTGAGCACTCAGCACATTATACCACGATCTGCTGTGTCTCAAGCTTTCTAGATGATCCTGGGAAGAGTTTCACTGTGGCCTGAATCTGAGCACAGCCTAGAGTCCTAAATATCTATCCATAAATACTTTGAAAACTTTTTGATAAAATGTATAGGACATTGGGATTCAACCAGGTACAAAGTTACAGCTTCATACTCTTTTCCCAATGCTTAGAATATAGTTGGTATTTTTAGAGTGTGATGAATGAATGAATGACTTTTAACTGTATGAAATATGACCCTAGGCTTTTGAAAAGCCATCTAGGAAAGGCCTGTATGTAGTCTGAGGGCGAGAAGGCACTTGGAAGGGCCTGCCCTTTGAAGAGAAGGGGACTAAGACTACAGGGATGATATAGAGCAAGGCACTGATTTGATTGTGTTCCACTAGGGAAGCAAGAGCAGGTGACCCAGTCTGCAAAAGCAAAGGGAACTGGGCTGAGAGGAAGTGGGAAGAAGCCACCCAGGAGAGTAGGAGTGGGGGAGTGATCATCTTCCTAATAAAAGCCATATGCAATTAGCGTTAGAAGTCCTCACCTGGAGCCAGCAGCAATCAGCTCCCCATGTTGCATCTCAGTTGGATAATCGCAGCCACTGGTTTCCATCATTCTTGATTTAATATGGCACCCCTCGTGGCTGTGAGTGCATTTACAGGAAAGGGCGGGAGGCCAAGGCGAAGCCTAGCTGGGTTTGCTCAGAGGTGGGTGTCTGGGCAGAGTGGCTCTGAGTGAGAAGGTTACAAGGAGAAGGGTTTTGGCAGGTACCTCCAGTGTTGGACATATCTAAGGGGACAGGTCTGACAATGAACATGCAGTTGTGTTTGATGAGAGGGCAGCTGGAGTGGCAGTGGAAAATGGGACCCCAGGCAAGAATGAGATAGGATGGAGGAGGAAAGGGAAGAGGCCAAGTTGTAGCCTCTCTCTACTGGGAGGTAACAGACTCAGATATGGCTCATCGTTCTGACTCCCTAACCCTACCCTCAACTCATAATCAGTGAAAGCAGGGATAACAGGATTGGCTGGGGAGATCAACTATGGGAGCTAGGGAGCAACCAGTGAGACTGCGGGAGAGGAAGGTCTTGTGAAGAACCCAGAGTGGGGGCAGGGAAGGGAAATGATGACAAGGGGAGCCTGGAGGATGAGTGAGGCATCCAAGGGACTTGCAAGTCTCTTGAACTAGCTCACAAACTACACATCTCCATAGAGATGCTGGGCACAGAGCAGGGGTCAGTCCCACCAGCCTGAGGGTCATCTAGGTCAGCATGCCAGATTTCATACTCTTCCAGTCCATTCTCCTACTACTGCCAGAGTGATAGTTTAACTTGTAAATCAGATCACATCACTCCTCTACAGAAAGAAAACTGGGTTGATCCAGAGATAAGGCTGCCAAGAAAAGGCTAAGGGGTAAGGAGTGGCTGAAGTGAAAAAATGAGTTTCTGTTCTCAGTGTATGGTATGAGATGGCAGGAGAAGCCTATTACTGCCTATAACTGGTGATGTTACTTTTGATCACTTAGTTAAGGTGGTGTCTGTCAGGTTTTTCCACTGTCATTCTCCCTTCGTAATTCTAAGGATCTGTGGGGGTGAGACTCTGGAACTAGATAAATATCCTGTTACTCCCCAAATTTCCACTCAGTTGTAGCAGCCACTGATGAGTCTTGCCTGACTCGAGACTAACTATACTAATCCTCACAGCCCCATGAAGTTCACAGTGTCTCCTCTCCACACTGTGCAGCCATGAAGTAAAGCAAGGTTCCATTGGCAGCAAATAAAGACCCATCACAAACCCACAGCCTGTACT